AAATATTAAAGTAATAACGTGAGCAATTGCAGATTTGAATTGAGCATTTAGTGAGCAATTATGAGCACTTATTCATTAATCTGAGTGGTTTAGGAAAGACAATTTTGTATTTTAAATTATTAATAAATAATTAAATAATTAATTAATAGTGTGAGCATTTGCGGATTTAAATTAAGCATTTTGTGAGCAATTAAAGGCAGTTATTCATTTAAAAAAAAGTTTATTGGTTTTAAGTATAATAGACAAAGCCAATTCTCGATTTTAAATTATTCATAACTACTTAAATAATAAATTAATAATGTGAGCAATTGCAGATTTGAATTGAGCATTTAGTGAGCAATTATGAGCGCATATTCATTAATCTGATCGGTGTAGGAAAAAACAATTTTGTATTTTAAATTATTAATAAATAATTAATTAATAGTGTGAGCATTTGCGGATTTAAATTGAGCATTTTTTGAGCAATTATGGGCAGTTATTCATTTAAAAAAAAGTTTATTGGTTTTAAGTATAATAGACAAAAACAATTCTGTATTTTAAATTATTAATAACTATTTAAATAATAAATTAATAATGTGAGCAATTGCAGATTTGAATTGAGCATTTAGTGAGCAATTATGTGCACCTATTCATTAATTTGACCAGTCATACTTCCAAGCCAACTTCTTTGTGCTGACTGTGTGCTCGTTGGTCACCCTATCATATAAAAAAGTTAAGTTTTGTGAAAATAATGGGCTTTGAACTAACATCTGTCGCAAAGATATTATTTTCCTTTCACAACTTCGCTTTTAAATCTATTTGTTTGACAAATTTTATGAGAAGAGGATGACTTTACCTATTTATATTAACAAAATAACTAATAAATAATATTAAAAGACTTTTTACCATGCTATTAATGATTCATATTGATTTTTAAATGCATTTTTCAGACCGTTTGAAATATTTCCACTTGCTATTAGAATTAGTTAATTTTATATATTTAATAAATCAAATTTCATATAGATTCTGAATATATGAACATTCATTAGTGTTTATAAATGAATTTATGTCGAAATCAGCATTTAAACGCTGACTGCCAACTTACATTCATACGCTAAATTTGGCGCTTGTTGATTTTATGACGTTTGACGTTTGGGCGCTCGAGGCGTTAAAATATAAATAGGTATTTACTTAATTAATTATCTACATATTCACATATAATTTCAATTATGTTAAAAAAGAAATTCCCAGGAAACTGTCCATGGCAGTAAATATTTTTTTCTAAAGGTCACAGCTTAAAAATACAACTTTTCGATCTGATTCTTGGGGAAAATTGTTTAAGTTTATTCGGTAGACTCACCTCTTCAGAGATTATTGGGATTTTGTACACTTTGAATAAAAATCCAACAAAACGCAGGTAGTTGCTACTTATTCTCGGGAACATGTTATATGAACATTTTTTAATTACTTTAGGATATCATGTTAAAAATTCAGTTAATTTTTGAAGTTATTCAGTTTCGTGTACTAATCTATTTTTTAATCTTTTAACCGCCTTCTTAACAATCATTTTTTGTGATAGTCCTTGTAAGTAAAATGTACATCACTAGCTAACGCACACAATGACAAATCAAAATTTGTCACACGTTTTCGGGCTATTCGCAAGTATATTCGAAGTCTATGATTTGTCATTTTAGGAGGTTATAATATAAAATAGGGAGTGAGCGCTTGAAACATTGACAACGTTCCTCATTTTTCTTAAAAAGAGAGGCACCGAGTTTTGTATTTCATCTCCTTCTAACATTGATAAATGTTTACACAAAATAAAAACATTACCAACGTTTAGACAGTTATTGACTTAAAGTAATATTTTAAGCGTATACTAGAACGATAATCTTATATTTTTTATCACTAATCATAGTTGGTATATTCCATATTGTATTTTAATTAAGCTTATTATTAAGTAACACAAAAAAAACCGCTAAAAAACCTTTATGTATGAAATTTATGACTCCAAATGTCATTTTCATTAATGTAATTTTAAATGGAGAGAAACTGAGTCTTTTAGATACCACCATTTTTCTTGGAATCGCATTAGATGCCAAGCTTCAATAGAGCCCCCATATATCAAAATTAGCAAGCAGACTCAGCTCTGCAGCATATGCTGTAAAAAAGTTTAGCAAGTCTTACCAGTGTTGAAACAGCTAGATAATTTACTTTAGCTATTTCCATAGCATAATGTTGTATGGTATTTTGCTATGGGGACACGAAGCTGACAAGGAAATTATATTTGTTTTACAGAAGAGAGCCATAAGAGCAATTTATGATTTAAAGCCTAAAGAGTCGCTGCGACAAAAAATTAAGGAAAGTAATATATTAACTTTGGCCTATCAATACATTTATGAAAATGTACGTACACAAAAATAAAAGTAGTTTTACAAAAATAAGTGATATTCATTCTGTAAATACTAGGAACAGACACAAGCTAGTAGTACCAGTTACTCGACTCCATCGTGTGAGTAATTCATTCTTTGGGCGATGTATACGTTTTTACAACAAAATTCCAGAAAATATACAATATTTGACCTGCTCAAAGTTCAAAAACTTTATTAAACTAAGTTTGTATAAAAAGGGTTGTAAGCTGTTATTAAAAAAAAGTCCCGCTGGGTTTCTTGCTGGTTCTTCCCAGGACAGAAGTTTTTTTTCGAACCAGTGGTAATTAAACAAAAAAGTGACTTTCAATAAGAATTATTTATAATCTATATTGAATAAAAAGTTTCTGTTTCTGTTTCTGTTACAGGAATGTTCTTTCCCTAAAAACTAGTGTAGGTGTATTTTACGCTATAGATGACAACACTATTTTAAAATTTGACGTTGTCAAATGAATGAATATATTGTTTTTTTTTATAGAATAGGGTGACAAACGAGCACACAGTCCACCGGATGGTAAGTGGTGGCTGTGGCCCATAGACATCTACATCTATCCTCGTTTGCGAATCAAAATGCAGATGCGTTGTCACCCGTGAGGACTAAGATGGAATGCCTCTTTTCCAGTAAAAAGGGTCTCCGGTTCTTTACACTCACCATACGAAATACACCAGTGTCGAGCTGCTATTTTACGCTGGTATTCTGTAAGTGCGTGGTCCTTCACCGATCGAGCCAACCCGAGTGTGCTACAACTATACTACTTATATAGCTGCAGCATGGCTCTTACACGTAGAAAACGCCTTGTACTAATCATTCGCTAAATTTGGGTAGAGTGCACTCACTTAGGGAGCGTTAATTCAAGTTTTACTTTTTTCGGTACAGTAGAAAGAGTTTACAGGTTTTTTTCATCATCCACACGTCAATGAGAAACTTTAATAAAAAGTATAGGCGTATCCGTCAAAAGACTCTCAGAGACAAGATGGATTGCTCATCATGACGCTGTTAAACCACTGCAGAATAATTTAAAAAAAAAAACTAGTATAAACACTCGAAGATATACATATGTATGATCCCAGCACCAACAGAGAAAACGTCGATACAAAAGAAGCAGTATCTACACTCTTACCAGCTTTGTGTTACTTCAGTTTTTTTATGCTAGCTTTCCTTTTTGGTATAAAATCCTAAAAGAAGTTAGTCAGATACAATAGCAAATACAAAATAATAATCTGGATTATCACTGGAAAAGTATGAGATAAAAATCAAAGCCCAAAAATTTTTCCCAACGTATTCAACTAGTGGAAAAAGCTATTTCCTACGTAACAAAAAATGTGAGAATGTGGACATTTCGATTAAAGGAAAATGAGGAATGAGAAGATATCGAAAACGTTTACCAGGAGAAATTACCCGATATGTTGGACTAACATTGCCAGAGGAGCTGCATCGAGAGCTATGTTAGAATGTCTTGATATATTTTACGAGGAACTAGACCATCGCTACAGAGGATGGATGATATTCTCGTAACATTTAGTGTTGTTTAGCCTTACACTCTGCTAACGTCACCATATGAATATCTTCAAAATCTGACAAAAATACTGTAGCGAGGCAAAAATGTAATCAAAATATTAAACAGAGTTTAATCATAACACTATTCAGCACTTTCTATATTGAAAAAAAAAAATACGCATTTCGTTTCCGTGATGCTGTATACACTCAAAATATTGTATCATTGACACTCTATTAGAAAGAAATGCAACGCTTAACTGGGTGCCTTTCATTCGTTTCAAGGTCACCGATTTAGGAACGTTTCTCTAGTATGAAGTGCGCACTCCCTATATTTTACAACCTCCTTGGATTTGTCATGCATTTTCGAACTGTCAGGTCGTCTATACGCCACTAGTATATTCTATGCAATGATCAATAAACTCAAAAAAAATATTAGTCATTGCAACACAATAACTTAAGTTGCAAGTTGCAACACAACAACAAAAATGTCAGTTGTCAGGAGTTTTGGCGGGAAATTGACCGGCGGCGGTTTGCTGCTCCTGTATTATTGTTTAAATAATGGTTTGAAGTGGACTTTGATATGTAAAAGTGTTGCGATTTTGTGTATTAAGTGTCTACGCATGTGAACTATTAGTGGAAACAGTGAAACAAGTGCTCTGATGGTGATGGTTTCTCAAGATAAGCTGTTTGTTTGCATAGGCACCTTTAGATACCATCGCCAACTATCAGCTGTCTGCTGGATCAAGTTGCCGCCAAAATCTCCCAAGAACTGCACAATGTGACGCATCAACATATTGTGAAGCAGTATACTATGAAGGAGTGGGGAAATTACAATAAACCGAATAAAAATACTTAAGACTTGGCCTAAAGGTCTAGATATCAGGCCATAAACTCCAAAAAAAAAATGTCAGTTGTCAGTCAATGGTCAATGTCATAATTTTTGTCATGGTGGAGACTTTAGAGGAGGGGGAAGGATATTTTTAGTTTTTATTTATTACACATGTTATATTTTTAATAAGAAAATTGACTTTTTATCTAATATATGTCTTATATAAAACGTAGAGATTATTCTTAGTATCTAAAATAATATAAGCATGACGCAAAGAACGCTCACTTTTGTCACTGGCAATATAAAAAAGTTGGAAGAGGTTAAGGCTATCCTAGGCACTAATTTAACTTTTGAGGTTATAAATCACAAGCTGGATTTACCAGAATTGCAGGGTGAAGTCGAGGAGGTATCAATTAAGAAATGTCAAGAGGCTGCTCGCCGCCTAATGAAACCTGTAGTAGTTGAAGATACTTGTTTAAGTTTTAACGCTTTAAAGGGCCTGCCTGGTCCATATATAAAATGGTTTTTAGAAAAATTGGAGCCCGAAGGTTTGACACGACTTCTAACAGGATGGGATGACAAATCTGCTCAAGCCATTTGTACCTTTGCATATTGTTCTTGTTCAGATGACAACTTAGATGTTATTTTATTTCAAGGTAAAACAACAGGGAAAATAGTTTCTCCAAGAGGTCCACGTGATTTTGGTTGGGATTGTATTTTTCAACCTGATGGTTACAATTTGACTTATGCCGAATTGCCCAAGGAAGAGAAAAACAAAATATCACATAGGTATAAAGCTTTAAATAAACTGAAGACATTTTTAGTAGAAAATTGTCAATAGAATGAAAAGTTTTCATTTTTAATAGAATAAGTCAATAGAATTGAAAGTGAAAACTTAGTGAAGTGATATTTTTTTATTTCATTACTGTCTTGTAGCCGCAATGTCAATAATTTGTTGATCACAAATTGTCCAGTTTAGATAATTAGGGACTCCAAACTAAGCTTTTGTTATAAGATTAATGTAATTGTAATGTTACAGGAGGGGCTAACTCCACTATTTAATTATTATTGCTGATCAAACTAAGTTCTTTTGATAATCCTTATAACCCTTAAGTGCATGAACATTTTGTTTTAACTGATTTAAACATATTATTTAGATGTTTTGGTCTTAAATTAGGGAAAAAAAATTAAGTTTTTTTAAGTAATTTTAATAAAAAAAGTTTGTATCATTTTTGATACATTATTCATCAACATCATTTTTTGTGTGGTAAATTAAGTAACTTTACTTATGGATATTATTAAAAATCTGAGTTCTTTTTGACACACATACTACTCAATAATTTACATTGAGACATCATGCACCTCATTCGATTTTGCTGTCAAATGTTGGGTGTGATTAATGCCATCAAGCCGCACATCTTGTGATGGCATGACCAGTACTACATTTTTCCTTTTTTTAGGTTCAGACTCCTCAAAACTACTAGGATGGCTTCCTTTTAGTAGCACATTAAAATTAAATTAAATTAAAATCCATTTATTTCTTTCTCAAGGCATACTAAATAATAAAGTAATTGGAGCCTCCTAGTAAGTATAAAAGAATACCTGTGTCAGAAGGCACCGCTCTTCGTAATAATATTAAATATTGAGATAAGCCGAGCAAGATTACCTATAAGATAATCACATATGTATTAACGTTACATAAGTTCTTAGTTTTTTTTTCTAACATCTTTGTATAACTTATATGCGTTGATAATGGCCAAATCTAATAAATCATCAGATTTGCATAACCACTTCTTTGTTTCATTCTGATTTTATAGCTGCCAATAAAGGAGTCCATCAGATCAACACCTCCCATATGGGCATTATACTCCCGAATAACTTTAGGTCACGTTACTGTTTTTTGGCACCTCTCATCTTTTTCGTACCTTTCTCTTGTACATACAGGTTGTGCTCCAACATACGATAAAATAAAATAAAGCAAACCTGCTTGTTGTCTTTCCAGCTTATGGCTGAAAAGTCAATGCTGTCGAAGCTGATGACGTATTCTTCGTATGATCCACAAGGCACAGTGATTTTCATAACTGTTTGTTTAGCAGTCAGTTTGCAATTCTTACCTAATCGATTTCGTTGACCAGTTCCCAGACATAATATCCCTTTCCTTAGCTAATTAACCTGTTCAGTGCGAATTGCCATCGATTACTTTTGTGTGTGGCGTATGACACGCGAGTCGTGTCTTTTTTTAAATCGTTATAACTCGCTCAAATTGCGTTTTTGGAAAATTTATCCAGAACAAAATATTCATTATTTTGCAAGTAGTTCATGCCTACAGCTTCGTTTCTAGATATTTTGAAGTTTTTAGGGGTTGACAACCTTTTTTTAACTTTTACATGGTACTCGTTTTATTTTGTGGGATTAAATCATGTTGTGGAAAAATAGTCTAATAAGTAACAAATAATAGCACTCATTGCGAACGCTCACAAACTCAAGTTGTAAATAAATTTCTCGAAAACAAGTATCCTGTTATAAAAAAACAATGCGTTTGTCTATTTTGCTTAAAATGGTTGAACTGCCGTCTTATGACTATCATATGGCCGAATAGACCTACGAAGCACCATGTGCTCTTGTGATATGTTATAAGGTTTATCTTTGTTTGAAACTGTTCATGCATAAAAAAAGTACGCTAATAAATAGTCTTTTGTTAATCCGCCGCCGTATAGCGCCGGCGTTTTTTTTCCTTTTGAAAACACTTGTTTTGTTATTCTTACTAATTAGAAGTTTTCAGATCGACTTTACTTTTACATTTGTATAACATTAAATAGTATTTAACATTTGTAAATATCATTGAATCATAAACCTTATTTTTTCCAAATTAAGGTTCTTGATTGTTTGATTTTTACAAATGTTATTCATCATTACAGCCCTTCATAAGTCCACTGCTGAACATGGGCCTCCCCCAAGGAATGCCACAAAGCACGGTCCTGAGCCACCTGCATCCATCGACTTCCTGCATGTCTTACCAGGTCGTCACTCCATCTCGTGGGGGGTCGCCCTACACTTCGCCTACCGGTACGAGGCTGCCACTCAAGAACCTTTCTGCCCCATCGGTTGTCGGTTCTTCGAGTTATATGGCCGGCCCACTGCCACTTTAGCTTACTAATCCGCCGTGTGGTGGCGGTCAAGAATATCCACTACCCATATCTTCCCGTGGGTGTCATAAAAGGCGACAAAAGGAAACAGGCAGGAGATGGGCAGCAGCATCTTCCTGATAGTAGCCGAAATTACAATTAAAAAAAAAACTGCGATTGCCAACTCGCTCGCCAAGCGTGGCAACTATGGCAAATACCCCCCTATGAAGAGAGTAACAAATGTTATTATTAGGTGAAAATTTAATTTAATGAAAACCAAGGTTTTCCAGGGTGATTTAGCTGTACCTACTTATATAAATGATTTTTTTTATAAAACAAAAAATTGTACAAAAGGTTTGTAATCTCTGCATAAAAAAGTCACTCTCAATTTTAAAGAAAACACGTAGAAAAACACGTAGTTACCCACTAAAAACAAGTATCCTTCCGTTTGTAACTGATGTTTGACGTCAACTAAACTTAATTAGGTCTAAACAAGTAAAAAAACCATTACTTTTACACATGGCTGATGGCACAATAGGCGTGTCATCAACTTCTGTGGCGCATGAAATATTTGTTCGCTGCCACAGCTAAAAGTTGTCGAAAATCGGTGCCGCAACGAATCGGTTAATATATAAGAGGTGTAGAAATTGTCAAAGTATACAGTTAGGTTTAGTGCTCCCAGATCTGGTTCGTTTTCCATCATAGCTTCATTGTCTTTTTCTGTATAAATTATAAATTTGTATGCAAGACCTCTCATTCAGATGTTCTATCACAGGTCGCAGCTTGTGTAGTTTATCGTGATTGGGATTGTCTATAGGCTGATATTTGGAGTTGTCATTAAAATGTTAATATACTTCGAATTAAATGAAACTACTTTTTACGGATTCTATAGCAGTTAATTTAACTTTTCAATTAGCACCCGAAACGTCGGGAGTGTGTTCCCCCATGTGTGTCTAGCAGTTTCCATCGTAATATGACGCCTGTTGGGAATATTTTGTGCAGAACACTATCTTCGTTCACTAGGGGAGGATCATCATCATTTCGTATATAATTTTCGTCATTTACAAGAGGTGGATTATCTTCGTCCTGGATTTGAGGATTAGGGGAAACACCGGAACCCATTTGTTCTTGTTCATGATTTTCTAAAGCAGCACGAATTTCGTCAATATTGGTGGGAACTTGACCGTCGACGAATTGTTGCTCCTATTTTATCGTTTAAATAATTGTTTGAAGCGGATTTTTATATGTATAATTTAAAATTAAAAATTTTGTACAGCCGACTTCAATATAAGTTATTTAAGAATAACTTAAAAACTATTGGTCTGACCTTGATCAAATTCATGTGGGACCACACGAGAAGTACCAGCTTTCAAATAAAAAAAGAATCATCGAAATCGGTTCACCCAGAAAAAAGTTCTGAGGTAACACACATAAAAAAAAAAAAAAAAAAAACGAAAAAAAAAAACATACAGTCGAATTGAGTACCGGCTCCTTTTTGGAAGTCGGCAGAAAAGTGATGCGATTTTGTGTATTGTCTGCGCATGTGAACAATTAGAAAAAACGACAAAACAAGTGCTTTGATGTTGATATAAACCTCAAGTTATTTTGATCGCTTTGGCGCCTTATGAACTTGAGTGCGCTAGTACTTCTTATTAGTTTATGGAACTGGAACTTAAGTGACTGTTGTCATTATTTTAAAACGAGCTCCTGGTGTAGAATCCTGGATACTTACATGTCACGAGTTAGAAAGCGCCGAATAACCGGAGATTACATGCTTAAGTGACTCACCGGTATGGCGATAAGCTCAAGATGACCACAGTGCCATCCTTTAGGATGTATCTCCGATTGTTATTGGTCTTAATAATATGATCCTGTATCGCACAGATAAAACCCTCGGTTTCCGCAATGAGGTCACCAATCCCTAGCGAGTGGAGGGAGGCGACTATGACCACGAAAGACTCGTGTAGAGCCTTGTAGAACCGCCCCCCCGATCGGAGACGCTCTGTACTGTCGTGTTTGCCTTGGCTAAGGATTGCCAGTACCTAAGCCATTTATCACACGAAATGGCGTCCTTGTCCATTCTGGCTCATTCGATTACCTTAAAAAGTACTTACGTACATTTCGCTATTGTCCATGTGAAGGGCGACTAAAACGCTGCGTCTACCATGCCTTGGCAGCGAGTACAACCTCGCTACTGACGATCTCGGATGATGCATCCTATGGGACTTCATAGTATTGCGGACTTTTCTATCCAGGGCGTTAAGTTCGGTCTGAGTTTACCTGAGTATGACAAAGGAATAGGTACGTGAAGACAGGTATGACGCAACCGTTATATATATATGCGTCTTTTTAACGCCCGACAGAAGAATGTAAAGCACTTTAATCAGGCGTGCATATCGCAAACTGATTATTTCATACTCGCCTCATCGATGCCCATATTCTATGATACAACCAGGTATCGGTTTGTTACAGCCTCGGACAGAATCTTATGTTGATGGGCATAACAGTGGTAGAGCCACACGGCAGCATTTGCTGTCGCACGGATAGGCCGGCTCGAACCGGGGTGGTACCACGACCTCACAGAATACCAGCGTGAAGTAGAGGTTTACCTCTGCGTTCCGCTTGGTGATTACAGGTGGCCGGAGGCCCAATCCCCCCCCCCCCCCCCATCAACATGGTAGCGGAATAGAACAGAAGACTACCCCAGGAGGGTACC